AATTAAGTAAAAATAATCACTTCATCATATACTGCAATTTGAAGTGCTTGCTTGGCTTGATTTCTCATAACTGGTGCTCTACTATTTGAGTCATGCCTCAGCCCAGCTTTTTGCTTTGTTATTTTGAAAATGGGAATCTCTCAGACTTCTCTTCTCCCAGCTGACTTCAAATCTCAGTCTTTGAAATCTCAGCCTCCTGAGTAGCTAGGGTTAAGGTATGACCACCAGCACCCACCTATTCTGCAATTTGATTACTGACAGCATCTCTCTACATAAGTCCATCTCCCCATATCTGTCTGGGGCCTCTAAAGACAGCAGAAGCTTTGTCTTCACTCCATCATAACAACTGCTTAAAATCCTTTGTGGCACTAATCAGAGCATAAACAACAACAGCACAATAAAATATTCAGCTTGCTATTTACTTGAATGTATAAGGCTGTCAGTTAAAGTTCTAGCACTTAAGATAACAAGAAAAAGAGAGTGTGTGATCTGGTTATTTCTAGTCAGATAGTTAGAAGTGAGAAAGAGAAAGGAGAGGAGGAATGGGAGGGAAGGAAGGAGGGAATACAGGAAGGATAAGGAGGATAGGCCGAAGGTACAAAGACAGCTGCAAAAACTTTTCAATCATTAATGTAGCTATTTAATATCAAGTGATATGAAGGTGTTTTAGCAGAGAAAAGCCCTGCAGTAAATTACCGCAGGCATTCCTAATTCTGTAACTTTCTAATAAAACACAGAAAGAAGCACTGGAGAGGGGAAAAAAAGGAAATAGCAAGATCTATAAAAAAAAATGTTTCTGAGGGCAAGTTCCCTTATATGATTATGTGTCGGTTGCTGTGCAAACTGGAGACTCAAGTTTCTCTTCTCAGATGTCCCCATTATAAATACCTGGGTCATGATTTTAAAAGCAGTATAATTAACAAAGCACACAGTACACAAATTCAAGTGTTACTTCATTACTGTGACTATTTTATCTTTGATAAACCATCATACTTATCTTTATAAGTGACTTTATAAGTGATATTAAATGTCACTCTATCTGAAAAAAGAAAAATACAGCATTCAACCTACTAAGCAATTCAAAAGGCTAATATGATACATAAATTTTGTAATTTTGTAATAAAGCAAAAATAATCACTTGATTCGATTTTGTAATTTGATTACAGACATCATCTCTACTTGAATAGCACAAGATGCATAGAAACTAACAATGTTTAGGAAAGCAAAAATAATCACTAGGAATGTAAGGAGATTGTTTCCTGCTTTATTTATCCCAGATTAATGAGAGTTACGTTGCCCTGTTTCTTCCTGAAAAAAAAAAGTTTTTCACTTTTTTGTCTCAGCAAGAGTTTATGAAAATCACTTCATGAATACAATTTATCATTCTAGTTAAATCCCATTTGACAGAACAAAAACAGTACTATTGGATAACAAGTGTTGCCCTACACAATTATTTAGTGAAAACAATAACATTGTAATTAAGATCCTTATATTTAACTCAATATTAAAAATCATAGTATGCTAGCATCTTCCTGTTTGTGTGTATGTGCGTGTGTATGTGTGTGTGTGTGTATGTGTGTGTGTGTAATTTGCATACACTTCTTTGGTTGGGCTTCATCATCCATTGAAGAACAATTTTCAAAGTCAATGGGTACCAGAGAAGCCAGGATAGAGCTAGATCGGAGGAAACAGAATTCCATCTATTGGGTTATGTAAAATCATTCCTCAATTTCCTATTTAAAATGAAAGCAAATCAGAGCTTGCCTAAGCAAACTTTCTTTTTTTCAGATTTCGAGTTTTTATGTTCCTTCTGTCATATTTTTATTTATCCCTCTAAGACATCATTTTATAGATTTAGTTAAAAGGGTACTTGTTCATATTCTCTGGTTTCACTTCACATCTAAACAAGAAATGTTTTAGATAGGTCACAAGCAATATCAGAGAGAGAGAGAGAGAGAGGGAAAAAGTGCTCTGGTAGATTCTGCAAAGGATAGGAAGTCTGTCCAGGGTACTGTCTGTTTGTACCCAGCACGAATACAGAATCCTATTACCTACCAAAGTATTAGGAAAGTGCTCCCAGCTGAAAGCATTTATCCAATTCCAATTGTTTGAAACTCTAAAATACTAAGGACAATATTGTTCCAGGAGCTACTGTTTGAAACAATACAATGCCTGTTCAAGAGTGAAAACTCAGTATTTGGAAATCTGAGTCTGTTTAAAAAATAATAACTGTGCATCCAAAAAAGAATTCCTTTTAAAAAAAAAAAAGTATTTATGTGCCAGGCACATGTTTTTAATTTTCATAACATTGGCTTACCTAAGTAAATACATAGAATCTAATCATTGTTTCTTGTGTGGTGATCTTTGGAATATTATTTTATTTTAATGAGTTTGCAAAGAAGTTAATGAATAATAATGTGGAAAATGCGTATCTGTCAGTATCAAGTTGCTGTGGTTTATGAGAATTGCAAAAATGTTAAAAGAAAAAGGTTTAAAAGGAATTGAAATATGCTCTGATTTTAAAAGACATGAATGCCGCCACATCCTTATAGGATAATGTCAGATAAAAAGTAATCATGTTCCCTCTACTATTTTGTTTGTTGGTAATTACATGAGAATAGTAGTAATGCCTTAAGGTTTATTTTCATAGTTGATCACTCTATGTGGGATTAACATCAGCATTTCTGTAATTCTCTGAGATCACCCATTTGAAAATAACATGGTAAAACATGTAAATGGTTAAGACACTCTAGCAGCTTTAATACCAAACAGATTAACACACAGGAAAATAATAGTATAATTTGTTCACTGGATCATATGCCAGACCACTTCTTTTGGTGAAAAGAGAATTGTTATGAAATAGTACTCTTCCTAACTACTCCTTTGTATTTCATGAAATACTACAGCAGTCAACTGACTAGAAGATGATTTATGATATACATGGGTGTGCATGATGTTGTAGGGACTTCAAATACTATTCTGTGGCTTTGTTATTGAGCAATTTTATGAAGCCATCCTCTCTGAGATTTGTTTTTAGTGAGAACCAAAATGTTACAACAAGAATCATACAAGATAGTGAAGATGCATTCCAGGTAGGATTATAGGCAAAAAAAAATATGAAAGTGATTGCTTATTGGTTAGAATGTGTATGAATTCAGTTTATGACCACCAAGACACTAATATAACATCTGTACTTTACACATCCTCAATGAACTACACGTTAGTATGCATTTCATAATCTTTTTTTAATATTCTCTGCCTCAACTTCCCCTCTCCTTCCAAAGTGTACATGAGAACAAGATAGGTAAACAAGCTAAGATTAAATCATAAAATAGTTACCCAAGCCACACCTCCTTGTTTTAATCCATGTAAAAGGCAGCTTTCACCCTGGAGAGTATACTGCTCCATAATCCTTGTTACATATTATGGGGGTGGAGCAGCAAAACCTTCCATCTCAAAGAAATGCAGCAAATACAGGTGTGTCTCCACCACCGCCACCCCCAGCAGGAAAAATCTGTGCCACAAACAGCGTGGCGCTGCTGGGAATTTAAATCATGGTGCTTCCACTTGGGCTGAGAGTCTATTTTATTTTTGAAAAAGAGCTTTATTATCATATTTTCTACCCGCCCCCCCCACCCCACACACACACACTTTTCTTTTTAGCTACAAGTGCTCCTCCGTGTAGAGCAGAGTAAATACTATAGTTTTGCTCCACAGTAGCTAAGATGTAATTGTCTGTGAAAGACCAGGCTTAGGGCTTGATTGAAGTACCGTGGTGCTGATGCAGGCTGCGCTCCCCGCGCGGGGAGGAAGCCGCGCCGAGGCGCACCCGGCTGGGCACCGCGGCCACCCCGCCGCCGCCGCTGCCCGGGACCCCAGGCCGCAGAGTCAAAGCCACTTTGTGCGCGCGCGCGAGCGCGCACGTGCCAACACCAATGCGCAGCCGCGGGGACGCCAGCAAGATCGGGGCCAGCCCGTGGCGCAGCGCAAACCAGCCGGGGAAACCGAGGAACTACTGCCATCGAAACTGCAGAAGAATGGACGGAGCGTGGGAGGAAGTGTGGGGCGTGGGGGGGGGGGGTGGGACAGAGTAAAACTGGAAGGAACCGGACAGTGAGCCCCATGCATGGCTTGCACTTGATCGGGGAGGGGTGCGGGGGTGCGCGTTCTGTAAGTCAGGACCCGGGGGAGGTCGGTCTGCCGTCGCGCAGCCCTGCGTCTCCGGGGGCTCTGGGCGCGGCTCCCCCCACCCCGGGCTGCGCGCACCCCGCGCCTCGCCCGCCCGGCACCGCGCCTCCTCCACCCTCCCCGGGGGTGCGGCGCGGAACGCGGCCGGCCCGACGCCGATTTACCCCCCACCCCACCCCACCCCACCCCACCCTCCCGGGCGGCGCTGAGGCCACAGGCCGAGCCGTAATTGCAAAGCAAACAAGGCTGACACGGTGCGTGGGTCTCCGGCTTGGCCGCCAATTGGTTCGTGCAGCTCCAGTTCAAGGCACTTGGTGGAAGAAAGGTTGAAAAGTGCGGGGAGGGTTTCCCCGAAGGAGACCTCGAGAGGGAAAGCGGGTCGGCCTGCGCCCAGCACCTGGGGGTTCCAAGTTGCGAGTGCGCCCCCACCCCGCGGGGGGGGGGCGGTTAACCCCTTCCTGCCCGCCTCCAACGAAATGTCCCCCGCAGATGGACTGGGGGAAGTTGGGGCTCTGCCCCTCCCAAAGCCAGGACCTCTCTTGGCCTGGACAGCCCTTGTTCAGTTTCAGAAACCCAAAGGGGAGGGATCAGAATGAGAATGGAGCCCCGGCGATCAGGACAGTCCCAACAAGGGGATCAGGACAGTCCCAACAAGGCCTGAAGAGTCGTAGGTGTCTACATCTAAAGCGCGCGAAGGACAGGAGCTAGCAACACCTCCGGTCGCCCCCCTTCCCTGCCCCCCAGCATTCTCAGGCCTAGGCCTCAGCCCCGCGTCTTGATTTCCCAGGTTGAGGCCTGGGCGATCTCGGATCGTTCCTCCAGGGCAGCGAGTCTGCGTGGTGCGAGTCGATGGAGAAGAGGCCGCGGGTGGGCACACCTGGTCGGGCTGGCACCCATCATGGTTGAGCTGGGTCTTCAGGTAGCTGGAAGAAGGAGGGTGGGGGACAAAGCAGGAAGAGAAAATGCATGAATAATTATTGAGCGTCTCCTGGGTCTCTCTCCAGGGTTTCAATCTTTACTTCCTGTCGCTCCCATACCCCGCTAGGTCCCTGTCATTGTCTCAGATAGCTAGAGTCTTAGAGACACGGAGGAAGATGGTGTGTCCAATGCTGGAGAGTCGCAGGTGGCCCCTGCCCGACTCCTGACGCTAGGCACCGAGGAGCCAGGCTGGGGCTAGGGCTGAACCCCAGCAGACTTTCACCAGCCCCCCTCAAAGCCTTGCGGGTGGTGGCCTCTTCCACCTCCTCTATCAGCTCTCATCTCTTTGGAAATAAAGGAACCAATCCGATTGCAATCCCACCAGATTTCTGTACGTCTCATTTCCACCGCTGTCTGAGCATCTTGGGCGCAGTGTATTCACTGGCCTGTTAAGAAATCCACGGGTCACAGCAGGTGACGGATACAGTTCCAGACAACTACCAGAGAGTATGGGTGATGTTGCCAAAAATGAGTTCCAAGGAGTGGAGCAGCTGTGATTTGGTGAAGAGTAAAGGAGACGTGCTATCTAGAATGGCTTCCCAGAGGAGGTGGCATTTAGACTGAGCCTAGAAATCACCAAGAGGGTTGGAATTTCCAACATGTGAGGCAGATGAGCTGCTTGACAAAGATCCTGGCTTACTCAGTGGGGTAGCCGACCCGCAGCTTTGACAATGTGGAAGTCACGCTTTGGCCATCTGCACCCATCTCCCGCCTGCCCCTCTAGCTTGAACGACTGCAGTTTGATCTCCTTAGGAGTGAAACCTAAAGCTTGGAAGCAAAAACTAGTGGGTAATCTTTGCTATTACTAATATCAAAGGCCCTTTATAAGGGGCAGGAATGGGAAAGGAGCGCTAGGGGCGCTCTCCCAAGACATCCCAACTACCAGAGTCACGCATTCCTGCACTTTTCCAGATACAGCTCATCTGAGATGTATCTTGACCAATCTGGAAGTTTCCTTCTGAAGTCACTGGAAAGGGCAGACCCCCAGGAGAGTAGAGAGGACTGGTTTTGGTTGTACTTCCCTAAGAATGAACTTCTCTTTCCGTTAGGGGAAAAAAAAAATCAGTCACACCCATTTATTGAAGTCTCTAAATGTATTCTGAATTCTCCTTTTTCTGTGCGCAACCAATTTCTTCGTTTGAAGTTGGATGCATGGCAAGCAGAATGCAATTCCAGTTTTTGTTCCTCGAGGGTTTGGCCTGTGTTAACTTAAATGGGCACTCACACAAGTACTAAAAAGAAAACCATTCTCTCCTGGAAAATGGAACAAAGTAGTCCTTTTTCAATCACAGGGCAGATCTAATCAGTACCAAGAAATTGGCCGCCTGATGCTGTGCATTTCCAGCAAGTCGTCCTGCCTTCTCTGTTTATATTTTCACTTTGCCGCTTGTAATTATTTTTATTTTAATTTTCTGTCACTGTAACAGAAACCAGAGCCTTTCCTTTTAATGTTTTGTACACAACATGTTCATTTTGATAAGATGTTCTTTCCTATTCTCTTGTGGCTTGCCTTTTCTTGTTTAGAGTTCTGTATCACAAGTTCCTAATATTTCCCCCTCTTTTTTTAAAAAGAAGAACTTTGTCCCTGTCTTGCTTTATTTGTTTGTGTGAAATTTAGTTTGAAAGGAGATCAGAGAGAGCAGAAGGGGTTTGTAATAAGAGAATGACCGAATGACCCAAAGGCTGATTATCTATCATTAACTGGAGACTCGGTGTACCCAAATTACCAGGGAAACCTCAGTGCACCGGATCCTTACCGCGCCAGGAAGGCAAGCATGGAATGCGCGCACGGAGACAGGCTTGCGGCTTGCACACTCGGCTCACACGCATTTTCTTAAGGAATTTTCTTTCAAAACTCAACTCCAGTTGAAGAGACAAATGTATTCTATTGTAAGAAGTTGTGCACACGTGGGGGGGAAAAGTCTCTCCTGAAAGACTAACTTGAACATTTTTATGACTAACGTTCTGCATTGATTCGTGAGAGGCAAAATTGCAGTTAATTGTCTAAGCTCCAGAGAATATTGAGAAATAGAGCCAAGCTGCTTTTGATCTGCTCACGCAGCTAAACCCAACCCTTGTAAAAATCGAGGTTTGCCAGTAATATTGACAATAAAAGTGTTTCTTTTTGTTAACCTGAAACCTAACCATCCTGGCTCAAGTCCCTTGTCTATAAGCAAAAACCTTCGGGGGGAGGGGGGGAAGGAAATGTAGGCCAGGTTCCGAAGGAACTGTCAGACATAAAGAAATCCATCTACATGGACTTGCAAATGGATTTGCAAAAGAAGCTACAGAATAGGACTTTCCCTGGAAAGCCAAAGCGTAGAAGTTGGAACTGCGAAGGCGAGGTCCTGGCTTTGAGTCACAAACAAATCTTTGAGTCACATAAATGATTTCTCCAAAGCCCCACATTTTAAGTTGTTAATTTCATTCATATTTTACTTGGAACCCCAGGCAACAGTGAACACAAGTTGAAGTCTATTACATTTCAGTAGTGCAGTTATGCAAAAGCACGTTTATTTCTTCATCTGAGTGGTGAATGATTTTCTTCCAACATAGAAGAAAATACCTAGCTTGAATTCTTTTATTTTATTTAAATGTTATTTTGTAATTTCTTGGGGTATTTTTGGGGGTAGCGCCTTCAGCATTGCTAGGCATACATTCAACTTCGGAGCTATACCTTCAACCCCAAGAATATTTCTAGTTCTATATAATTTGCTTAAAACAATAATGTGGGCAAGTATTTGATGTAAATCCTGTGTATGGATTTACATTAAATAATGTAATTTTTATGTGACTTTTGCTTTAAATCCTGTGTTTTGCTACAGAGTAGTAAAGATCAGTAAAGATCTGATTTCTCATAGTTCTTTGGGCTAATAACACCTTCCGTCTGTATGCAGCAGGCTATGTCTTGTAAGGCCCTTTTTATCTGATGCTGCCGTTAGCCTGAATAAGTATTTTTGCTTTATGGACAGACTTGGCTACCTGTCAAAGTGGTTAGTCCTTCCTTACCAGTGAAAATGCTCTGAAGCAGCAACATGTCTTCTGGTTAATACAGGGATCTGGTTGTGGATTATATGGAGAAAATGAACGTTCTATTGCCTATAATACTAAATAGTTGAATTTTCCTTAAGAACTTAACAATAAACCAATAGTTGATGGCAACACACTAGCCTCGGTGTCTGTGATAAGCAAAATAATAACTTTAATTTATTTTTAATATGAATAAATAAATAAAATTTAAATCTTATAAATCCAAACCTTGTTGGAGGATAAATTTGAGACAGATGAGGAAGGAAATAGAGAGAAATGGGAGGGAAAAGTGGTGGGGGGGAGGGAAATGTACAGTCACTTAGCAAGCCCTGAATTTCTCCACTGATATAACTGTTCCTAAACAAAATTGGATTGAAAAGTTCATGAGCAATCAATCAGCCCCTCCATCATTATTTAAACTGGACTAGCCCTTCCCTGCTCCAGGTCCACAGATCTGCTGTAGACCTAGAAAAGAGGCCTCAAATACACTGCCCTTCCTCCCATTTAAAAAAAAAAAAACTAAGAAAAAATTGTCCAGAGGAAATAAAGCCATGTAAATGTCAAGGCATCTTTTCATACACTTCATTTTGGGTGTTAGAGGGATGGTTATTTTGTTGTTTGTTTGTTTTTGCCAAGTTTACAGGCATCATTTCGCCAAGAGGAAGAACTCCAGAACTCCAGTTAGAGGGAGAACTTTGCAGCTGCTCAGCCCATATACCATGTTCTGAATGTTTTAAACATTGTAGAAGTTAGTGCCTAACACATAAAATGATGCAGCCCTGTTCAAGAAAGTAATGAGAGCCACCCGCGTCACAAGAAGCACTGTTTTTGGAGCAGGTAGGGCAGGCTGAGACTGCGTCTTCAAAATCATACTAGTTTTCCTGACACTTTCTGGGTTTCATATTCTTTCTTGAGTCCTGAGCATGAGCTGGAGTTCACCTTACTAGAGATATGTAGAAGCATGCTCAAAAATTATTTCTACAGCTTTGGTTAAGAAAAAAGGCTAAAAAGTCTTTTGAAAGACAAATGAAGGATTTGAGTCCTGACTCCTGTAAATATACAACGTGTATTTATGCCCTTCTGAGCTGATCTCTTTTGGGTCCGGTTTATTTTGAGTTTTCATGAGCAAAACACAAGATGCAAAATTGCTCTTGCCACTGAATAAATAAATATCTTTAAAATATCTATATTTTTCCTTTTAAAAAGCCTAGAGTTCAAAGAAAAATACTTTAGCTTAACCCAGCTTGATTTTAAAAGGAATGCCTCACAACACTAAAACCATTTGCAGTGGTGTGTTCAGCCTTTCTAGTACTCTTTGAATCTTTTCTAGGGAAAGCTGTAATACTGCTAAAGGAAAGGAGACCAGAGACTGGTGCCCAAAGTATATGATTGAAGCCAGCGCTGTTGGTCTAGTTGGAGGCAAATGTAATATTGCAGCACTGCAAGTACATCATCAGCTAAGACCAAGACTGCAGCCACACAATCACCAACACTCCTCGAACCTAGGCTGCCTCCTCTCCCCATAACTGGTTTCCAGACCCAGGACCCTCAGCCTTCAGCCTGGAAGGAGTTAGAGAGGAAACTTGCCTTTCCTCCCACAACCCCTGGCTTTCTCCCAGGGCACCCAGAGTAGCTCCCCAGTGTGCATCATCACACTTTTCTGACTCCTCAGAGTTCTCAATATGTATCCTTTGGGGGGCAGTGCATACCAGAGGCCATTCTAGTTCAACCCACGAGGGGGTAGGGGGTCCTCAGGCTAACATCTAAACTGACACGACACTCTTTCTATTACTACCATTACAGTTGACTCTGGCACTACCATCCCTAGCTACCTAAATTGGGGATTAACTTAAGACGACACCTTAGTTTCACAGCTTTCCACAACAGCAGGCTAACACCCTCGAATTCTTGGATCAAACATGAACCACAAAAAACATCAAGAAAAGAAACCAGTGAATGTGTTTTGTGGTGCGTTCAGAACCCGTCTGGCCTCTCTGAGTCAGTTACTACCGTTGGAGACACCCTAGAGCTTACCAACGTGTCCCCTAGCCATCAATGTTCTGCGTTTCTAAGGCTCTAACCGCTGGAGTTTGGGTTTCTGAGATACACAGTGCTTTCGATCATCCCTGGATCGTAGTAATTAACTGATAATGATGCTGTCAGTGAGGAGTAATGTTCAGATTAGCATCATTTACGAGCCTTTTCTGTTCCAGGCTGTCCGTTTCTTTTATCACTTGCCATGAGACTATCTGGGGCCACGAATCGAATCCATTCCCTCATTGTGTTGTTGTTTCCATTTTAAAGCTTGGGAAAGGCTAGATGTGATAAGTTCTGACCCATCACAACTGCACCCACTCCCCTCTAGCGGGTAGCTTCTCCATCCCCAACCCAGCCATCTTCTGGATTCTTTTTATTTTCTTTTAACCACCTAAATATTGTTTTCTGAAGACAACCAAACAAATACTTTCTCTATTTTTTATTAATACTTAGATCAAGAATAACCATCTTACTTAGTCTACCTGAGCCCAAGGCCTAAATGTGTTTTTTTTATAAACAGATTTTTTTTAATGTACCCAATGTCAGAGGATTGAACTACTAGTATTTACACATTTAGGGTATGTCTCCTGATGAAATGTAAACAGAATCCTGCCACCCTACCTGTATTCTTGCCTTTAAGAAGTTCCTTTAAAAAACAAAAATCTCCTCGGGTCCAAAACTCTACAGACCCACCCAGGTTGGGAGCACGCAGCTGTTGGCTGCTACTTTGTTCTGATACCAAATGCAAGCCCCTAGCGCTCATCAACAGGTTGGGATTCAGCTACTCCCCTTTGCTCTACCCTCTGCCATAAGTCGCTCGGCACCCTTTTAAGGGAGCTGAAGAAGAGCGGATATGTTTGGACTCCCAGCCTGGCTTTTTACAGTCCTCAGTTCCCTCCCTTCTCCAACCGCCCAACTAATTACAATATGCCTTTAATTGTATTTACTTCTTGGTGCTCTAGACTCAACCAGGCCCCTGAAGCACCACCGCGTCCTCGATGTCCTCTCTGGGAACTGACCTGGCCTTTAGCCACAGAGTCGACCCCGAGTCCCCGAACTAACTGGGTTCCCTCCGGCCAGGTTTGGTCTCCCGCCTGCGCTGCTCGTAGATCTAATGGCTTCGGTCCGTCCGTGCGTCTGTCGTGGCAAAAGCGGGCCAGGTCCAAGGCCGCACACCCTGCGCTCCACCCGCTCCGCCCGTCTAATTTACAGCCCACCAACTCCTGTTGACACTCTTTTCCACACCGGACTCCACCGGGGGGCCAAATCTTTTTGCCATCCACATCCTCCCCGAAGGTGGGGGGGGGGCGGTCCACCACTCCAGGACGATTTCAACTTCTACCCCTGGACGGTCCTCACCTTCGCCACGAAAGCTCTGCGCGGGGGCTCTCCACCCGGAGCGCGCCGCCGCCCGAGGGCCCCGCGGCCCGGCGACTTACACGTGGAGATCCATTTCCCATCAAAGTACGTCCGAGATCACCACTGGCCTGCAGTCTAAACATCCACGAGCCGTCCTCCCGGCCCGCCTCTTAAAGTGGCGTTTAATAGTTCCCCTCCGATAACTAAACCTGCTTTCCACAGATGCCCGCTTTTATGGGGAGGCAGGAATGCAGAGATGTATTTATATGTTTGTTCATAAAAACTGGAAAATAAGCTCTGAACACGCTGTAAAAAATATTCAGTTACTTACCAAACAGGCTAGTTAAACCCAGGGAACACCAAGCCCGGCCACACCGCCGATTCTCACCGCGCTTTGAAATTGGACGTCCAGAGAGTCTCTCCACGGCTGGCTGGCATTCCTCTACTACAAGGAAAGGAAAGCATTTACGATCAGTTGGGGCTGTTCGTCCACCCCAGGTGGGTGGAGGAGTGGGGGAGTGTGGAGAGGAGGATCTCAAATGCGATCTCTCCAAGTTGTCACAATAACCCGAGTCACCCCTCTCCCGCAAACTGATGGAAATGTGATCGAGAAAGCCAAAAACCCTCGGGACCATCGCCTGCAGCGCGGGCCAGGTCAAAGGACAGCACCAGTCCCGCAGCCGCTCCGAGTACCCACCTCGGCCCCCCGGAGCCCGTTCCCCGCCGTGGTGGTGGTTCCTGTGCCCAAGAAGGCTCTCACACAAAACGGCACCAGGCCGCCGGTTCATTTTTCCTGCCTCGATTGCCTACCAAAATCCTGGGGAAAAGCTGTATCCGCCTTCCTGGTTTGAGGCTACACACACTCACACACACACACACACACACACACACACACACACACACAGTCTAGAAAAGAAAGTGGAGTGATACAATACCTGGTTTGCGATTCTTCAATATTTGAGACTTGAAAGGGGGGGGGGAATATTGTGATTTTTTTTTTTAAATAGTGAAGCATCTGTTAAACACTTGAATTAACCTCTGGCTGCTAAAAAAAAAAAAATTAACCCTGCCCCCTTTCCCTTGTTTTAATTACCTTATGGTTATGAGCGAACAGCCAATCCTAGACCAGGACCCCGGCAATTAGCAACTGGAACATCAAAAAGTTTTATTGCGGAGAGCGCGAGGCGCCGCCCCCGCCGCCCCCGGATTGGCGTGCGCAGCCTCTGACGACATATATTAACCCGAGCGGCCCTGAAGATGTGGCTGTCCATGGAGATCCTGCTGGGGAAGTCCGCCTGCCTCCCCTGCCGGCGCCCGGCCCGGAGACCCGCCGCCGCCACCGCCACCCCGGAGCTCCCTCGCCCGTCGCCCAGACCCGTCGGAGAGCTCAAGCCGCCGCCTGCGACCTCCTAGGCGCCTGCCAGGGCCTCGCGTTCGGGCCGTCCACGGAGAGGATCTAAGAGGGCACGGGTGTGGGGGGGGGCGGGAAATGGATGCACTGAGACCTCTGTGAAAACCAAACAAAAAAACAAAACCAAAAAACAACCTTCCGAAAGAGGCCGAGCGAGGCGAGGACGAGTCACTCGCAGCTTTAAAACAAAACAAAAAAAATCACATTGCAGGACCAAAACAACAACAGCCAAACAATCTCATTAAAACAATAAGCGCCCGAGAGCCCGGCTGGAGCCGGTGGGGGAGGGGAGGAGGCGGGAAGGGGAGGGTCGCACGGAGGTAAGCCTCGCCGCCAGCCGTCGACCCCGCCGCCTCCCCGCCAGAGCCCGGCCGGCTCCTCCAGCCCGGGCTCGGACTCGCCCTCGGATTCCAGGTTAGCCTCGGCGCCCGGAGCGCGGCCCGAGCAGCGCGGATCCCGCTCTCCGCGACCCCCGCCCCCCTCCGACTCCGCGCCACCTCCTCGCGGAAGCCCGGGCTCTTTTGCATGAGCACCGGAGGATCGTGCCTGAATTCGGCTGTAACCCGGGACGCGGGAGCCGGTGCGCGAGCTGTAGAGCCGGGCGGGACCCCGCAGCAGCGGCGGCGGCGGCCAGGGGCGCACGGTGCCGGGACCAGCTCGCCGCGCCCCATGGGGAACCGGCGGCCGCAGCGAGGCTGAAGCAGGCCCGGCTGGCCAGGCGGGGGGCCGGGGGGGCCCGGGCTGCAGCAGCCCCCTCTGCGGCTGCCGGGCCGGCCCCGGAGCCCGGGGGTTGGGGGGTGGGGGGTGGGGAAGGGCGGCGATCGCCGAAGCCGGGGCCCACGCGGAGAGCGCGGCGGGGCTGCGCGCACGCTGGGGCGCGTGGAGGGGCGCGGAGGGCGACATGAGTCTAGTGGGGGGCTTTCCCCACCACCCGGTGGTGCACCATGAGGGCTATCCGTTCGCCGCCGCTGCCGCCGCCGCCGCCGCCGCCGCTGCCAGCCGCTGCAGCCACGAGGAGAACCCCTACTTCCACGGCTGGCTCATCGGCCACCCGGAGATGTCGCCCCCCGACTACAGCATGGCCCTGTCCTACAGCCCCGAGTATGCCAGCGGCGCCGCTGGCCTGGACCACTCCCATTATGGGGGAGTGCCGCCCGGCGCGGGGCCCCCGGGCCTGGGGGGGCCGCGCCCGGTGAAGCGCCGCGGGACCGCCAACCGCAAGGAGCGGCGCAGGACTCAGAGCATCAACAGCGCCTTCGCCGAGCTGCGTGAGTGCATCCCCAACGTCCCCGCCGACACCAAGCTCTCCAAGATCAAGACGCTGCGCCTGGCCACCAGCTACATCGCCTACCTCATGGACCTGCTGGCCAAGGATGACCAGAACGGCGAGGCGGAGGCCTTCAAGGCGGAGATCAAGAAGACAGACGTGAAAGAGGAGAAGAGGAAGAAGGAGTTGGTCAGTACCTGGGGCGGAAGGCGGTGGGGAGAGGGGGGAACCGGTGGGGTTCTCTCCGGAGATGGCTGCTGCTCCCTTGGTCTGGCTAATTGTGCCCAGAAATAGCCTCGGGCACCCGTTAGTTGCGTAGTCCTAGGCGGTAGGTTGTTTGCAACCAGGTCGTGGTGGGAAAAAGGAGAAGGAAGGATGTCAGCCAGAGGAAGAGAAGCTTTTCTTCAGGGAATGTTTCAGACGCTAATCGTCTAAGGACGATCGATCGATCGCTTAGGATGGGCCTGCTAAACTATTGGTCCAGACCCATCTTCCCAAGTCGGTCACACCGGCCCGGGAATCCCCTCATTATGCATTCGTTAGAGGCTTCATTTGGCCTCGGATCCCACCTTGATTTCCATTTTGTTTTCATGTAAGTTAGCCCTAAATCCCCTATTCCAAGTATTTCACCGTTGTTCATATTTTCCCCTCCAAAAAAGAAGGGTGCCAACGACTCTAAGGTTTTATGGTTGCTCTAATTACTAGGAGACATAAAACATGCAGGTAAATATTGTCTTTAATTTCAAAGTACAGCCGAGGTTTCGCTTCGGCTATGTCATTAAAAATGTGATTTCTCACATGCGTACACTCCACAGATAACAGTGGTTTTATTTGAAGGAGAGTATGCATTTTAAGACCAAAAAAGAGTCCAGATTATTGTGGTCATTGTTCTTAACAATGTTATAGTGAACCAGGCAAAAATACGGTTACAAAAATATATTGTCAGACTTCTACCAAGTGACCATAGGGGAGTGGTGTTTGGGCCAGGACTATGGACATGAAGGGCCTGAAAAATGATTCCATTTGTCTCCCAGATTTTCTCCTTTGGGGCCTTCAGTCCTTTGACTGCTTCATAATCGAGTGACCTCGCAAATAAGCAAAGATTTCAGAGGCCTCAGGCTGTCGGGCGGTGCTACTGAGCTGGAGGCCGACTAGGGAGCCCAGGGGAGAGAGGCCCACGCCAATGCTGTGGGGCCTTCGCCCCATTTTTCCTAGAGCAGGAATCTGCGATTGCTATTGAAAACAGAAGGCAGAGTTAGCACCGACCCCCACTGCCTCCCCTACATCTGGACTCAGAAAAAGACCCCTGGCTCCTCCATAAACGGCTGCAAAGCAGGCAGTTGTTTATAAACTTGCCGGTCTGGTAGTTGAGCCTTGCAGCATGGAGGCCCAGGCAGTAGCTATGGTGTTGCAAAACCTGCAGCACCTCTCTGCAAAGGCCACAACTGAAAAATTACACCCCCACCCACCTCCCACCACCTTTCAGCCCTCCCTCCCTTGTACTGTAACTCAGAGCCCAGGAAGCACCCGAGTGGCCTGAGACCAGGCATTCTCTCTGAATTTCTCTTCTCCGTTTTTTCTCGCCCTCTCTGTCCAGAATGAAATCTTGAAAAGCACAGTGAGTACCAACGACAAGAAAACCAAAGGGCGGACGGGCTGGCCACAGCATGTCTGGGCTCTGGAGCTCAAGCAGTGAAGATTTGGGGAAAAGAAGAGAGAGAATGAGCGAGCCTGGGCCACAGCGCCAGATGAAGACCCAGAACTCTTGGCAAACCCTCAGGCTCTGCTGGAGGACTTCTTGCAGTTGGCTCATCCCGTTTATTTATGTGCAATTTCCTTCCCCATCTCTTTGACCCCCCCCCCACCTTGAGGTATCCGCTCCCGGCTCCCCCTCCAAAAAAAGTGGATATTTGAAGAAAAGCATTCCATATTTTAATATGAAGAGGACACTACCGCGTGGGTAAGGAATCCCATCGACTAGTAGATTCTGTGTGCGTGAATGTTGCCTCTTGGCTGTGTAGACACCAGCGTTACCTTCACTCCTTACCCAGCTCCTTCTAGATAAAGGCAGTGGACACTAGTGTATATGTGAAATGTATCTTTAAAACTTGGCCTTTGGGTATAAATATTCCTGGCAATTATAAAGTTTTATTTCAAAGCAGAAAACCGGGCCGCTAGCATTTCAGCTGGGGGTTGATATCTAGTGCTGTCTTTTCCTATGTGGTGGTTCTTTATTCGAAAATGTTTCCAACAGTACTTGTTTTGTGCACTTCCGTCCTCTGAAACTAAGTGGAATTTAATTAATATTGAAGATGTAAACGTTGTAAGTATTCAATAAACCACTGTGTGTTCTTTTTTTTTTTTTTACAAAAACCCTAATCTTTTAATGGTTGATACCTCAAAAGTTTTGAAAACAAAGCTGTTATACTTGTTTTCATAATATTTAAAATATTCAGAAGTAAACTAAATTATCAGAATTGCTTGTTAACTTTATTTTTTTTAAGTGCTTCCTATCCATCCATATGACTGAGGTCCAGGAGCTTGTGGAAGTTGTATGAAAGAGAAGGGTCTTTAGTGAAAAATCGAGCCTGGGGGCTGGAACTCTGTGGAGTGTTGGAAACCCTTCAGTGGTCCTTAGAAGATGTGTCTGGGTGGGAGAAAGGCTGGGAATTGGCTCTGAAGATGCCAAGGTGTTCTCGTTTCCTGAAGTCAACCAGATGACGTGCTTGGGGCAGGGGTTGTGTTTGGGGAATATGTTTTTGGTGAAAGAGGTGTCAGGAGAATCCCAGGCATTGTTACTGGTGTAGGAAATAGTCTGCAGTGTTTAGTAATGTACGTGTGTGTGTGTGTGTGTGTGTGTGTGTGTGTGTGTGTGTGTGTGGCTTTTATCCAAGGGATGGGGGGAAAGAGAGGAAAGGAAAAAAAGGAAAAGGAGAAATTGCTTGTAGTCTAGATGAGAGGATTCTTCTCTGAGCAGGCTCAGTTTGGGGATGTGGGGGTGCTTTTGAAAAAAAAATGTCTATGATGAGGTAACAAGGAATTTTACGTCAAGTAAGAAATCGTGAACAAGACCACAGATTTAAAGGGAGGCGAGGGGTGGGTTAGATTTACAAGGAGCTACAAGGAACTCAATATTAACCGTGCGCAATGTCTGAAGTCTTCCTGGCCCCAAAGCCCAGTGGAACAGGAGGCACTCTCCGTTGGTTACCAGCTGACGGAAGGGGTCCTCACCCCTTGGGGAGTTCTGGTCTCCTGGAGTCCCATAATATCTAATATCCAGGAAGAAAGTCCCTGTGGCCTCATTTTCCTGCTGAGCTTGAATTTCTGCTCTAGAAACCAGAGAAACTGAAATACCATAAAGAACTGACTACAGGATGAGGAGGAGGAGGAGGAGAAAGAGGAGGAGGAGGAGGAGAAGGAGGAGGGAAGGAAGAAGAGGAGGAGGAGGGGAGGATGAATTCGGAAGGGGGTGGAAAAAAGGTGAACCATATTTTAAAAAATAATAAACCGTTTGTTTCATGAAATGCCACGTTTATAAATCTGATATTGAGAGGCTTCCAGAAAGTTTCCATCTTGAAGCCCATCCTCTGCACCTTGTCTGCAGGCACAGAGTTTCCTGTGATATCCCAAGGATGCCAACTTTGACCAGTGGCTTGTAGTAGGCCCCAATGAGGCCGGAGTGGGCAAATTTGCAAGTGTCCCCGGGAGAGATGTACCAGTGGCTGTAGGACTTCTGCAGGCATCCGACAACGCAGGGGCCAGGGGTTAGAACAACTTGGCCAAAGCGATCTGAACTTTCTCCCTTCAGGTCAGCCAGCACTGGGCCAACCTGGTGGGCTAGGGGCTGTGTTTACAGACACTTGCCTTTGTTTATAGCATAGGGAGTGGGGGAGGCGCACCCTGGTTTTCTGATGCTCTTGAGATCCTTGTCTGATTGATGGAACAGCTCCTTCCTTTTGCTTCTAATCTCCTCCCGGGCCTATATTTTTTATCCCATTAGAAGAAAGACTTCAGCTTCTAGAGGTGAAAGAAAGGAATACTACCAGAGTGATAGAATGAAGGTAATGGAGGCAGCAAAAATTTAACTTGAGCCAGAGAGGAGTCTTCGTCACTATGCCCATGTGATGATGCATTCTTTGGATAGCTGGTCTTCCTGCCCGGGCCTTACCTGTACTTCTGTGGGTTTAATGCTTTCTCTGGTTGACACAGTACAAGGGAACCAAAGACCCCAGTGCATCACTGCAGTGCAGCAGCCCAGTAATACCCATGCTTTTAAACCAGAGTTCCAGACACTCAGCTTCTTTGTCTTGTTGCGGCCAAGGCATTTCCCAATCTCTTCTGCTAGTGGCTGCTTCCTACAGCATCAGGCTCTTGTATGTCATGTGCTATGTCACTGGAACTTGCCAGAGGCCCCAGTTGACCAGAAACTCAGCAGTATCCTGTATCTGATCAACTAAAAGCTCCAAATGCTTCCACACCTGAGGCCCAAACCTTCTGTCTAGACACAGTCTAACTGGGTAACACTTTGAGGTCACCAGGATCCCTTGAATTCTCCTGTCCCTCATTCAACTCCTAGATGCCAACCAGCTTGGTGCTTCCTGCCACCTAGATGCATGGGTCACTGTTTCGTGTGATCAATGTCCCAGGAAGCAAACTGGGCCGGCATTCCTTCGGTGGTTGTATGCTTCGCTCTTCTGCATACACTTCTTTCTCTTTTGATTCCTTTTCTTCCTTTTTTTTTTTTTAACTTTCCAACCTCTTACTTACGGGGCTGGCTAAAAAGCCTCTGTTTTAATTGCTTGGATAATGTGGCTGCTGCCATTTTGTTAAGAGCAATCACTCCTGCAGCGAAATCACAAGCGCTCTAGACAGGCCGGAGCCGACAAAAATGTAGGATTTGACGTTAAAAGCTAAATGGGAAGCTGGGGCGGCGGAAGGTAAATTGATGGTAGATCTGGCTGTCAGAGCTCAGCCCCAGACCAACTTGCAGGCCCAAAGCCTGATAACCCTGGAGCATGGGCAGTCCAGGGCTCTGTGTGTGTGTGTGTGTGTGTGTGTGTATGTGTGTGTGTGTGTGTGTGTGTGTTTGCAAGTGTGTTTTGATTGACCCTTTGCAGCCTGAGAAGAAATCTAAGAAAGTCCATAATGATGTGGACCACAATCCCAACTTAGTGTCAATTTTCCAGGACTTTGGTCCCCAGCTGGGGCACTGACAACAGCTTTCCTGGTTCTTCACAAGTCCAAGATGACAGCAAGATCTCAAGGGGGAGGGGGCAAAGAGGGGTGTTCTGCTTGGCTTATAAATCTCTAGTGCTCAGCTACAGGTGGGCCAGCCAGTAGGCTTTAGTGTCCAGCAATAGTAGGACTCCAAGCCTAGATTCAAATAGAGGAGGACACCAGGACTTGTTTCGGGATTGTATGGATGCATCAGTAGAGTGTGGAAAGTAGGCTTCTATGCCACTTGGAAAATGTGTGTGCATGAGTCAGGGGTAAAGGATGCTGGGTTTCCTCCCCTTTACTAGTAACTCTGCTCCCTGGCTCCTGCCCCGTGGTGAGAATCGCAGAGTTCCTCTTTGTAGTTAGGGCAGAACAGGAGTTGGAAGCACTCGGAATCTCGAGTGGAAGATAAGATTGAGTTCAAATGCAAAGCCCACAGGGAACAGGCCGCCTGTGGACTGTGTCTGAGACTACAGCTTTGCAGAGATAAGTCGAGCCAGTCGCTAAGTCCAGTATGTATGCAAGGAACAGCAAAGGGGGCAAAGGAGGCCTCCTTTACCCAACTACATTTGCACAGCGGGTCCACAAAGCGCTAGAGACTTTTCAATTCTTCCCAGAACTTTAAATTCTGGTTCGAAGGTTAACCTCATCACCCACAGTTTTCTCTATTCCAACCGTCTCCTGGCCTTTCCTGGTGCGCAAGTCCCTCCCATTCACCTGGAAATGGGAAAGGGATTGGCCGCTGGATGTCAAGCAAGGTTGTCTTAGAAGTCGCGAGCCCCAGAGAGGTCTGGATCGGGAGCCTGGGCACTGCCCAGGTGTCCGCAGGGTAGCTCGGTTGACCCAAAACCCAACCCTCTCAGTTGGTCGCGTCCCTACAGCCCGTGTGGATCTCCTTGCAAGGAGGGGGCGCCCACGAGCCTGCCGGACGCGCAGTATTCCCTCTCGTCTCGGATGCAGTTTTGTTGTTGCTGTTGTCGTGTGTTTTGGTTTTTGTAAACCCAGGAGCTATCCTCAGATTGGGGTTCGGATCCTCGCTGGAGACCGACCCCTCAACAGCTTCAAAAGTTTGGAGATGCAAGGAATCGCTGCCGCAGGAGGAAACCACTATGCGTATCTATTTAAAAAAAAAAAAAAAAAAAAAAAAACCTGTTTAAGACGGAGGGTGGGAGAGAGGGGTGTTGCTCCAGGAGAGGAAGCCAATCTCACGTTTCCGGGGGCCGGACAGTTGTGAACGCCTTACCACGCTCCGCGCGCGGCGGCGCGCACCTCCCTTCTGCCCAGTTGGAATGAGCCTGTTTGTAACTGCTAAGCTCCTTCGGCCCGCGGGGCTAATGGAAATCGATAAATGCACTGAAGATCTGACTTAGGTGTACACAGAAGTTATAAACTTCTCTGCCTGTTCTCACCTATCCACGCAGCCCAAGTTAGTTCTTATCCAGGAGTGCGCCCCCACCCCATCCCCAAACGCAATCCCCTACACACACACACACTCCAAATTCTCCCGGCATTTGGGGACGCTTTGATGATCAGATGGTAGGGCCCTGATTACAAATTTATTCTCGGCCTCTCGGTTCTTTATCTCCGCTATTAGGGACATCTGGGAGTGATTAGCGCCGCGCCCGCGCCGGGCCGCGCTTGCCTATCTCGCCACGGCGGGGCCCGGAGCTTCGCTGACGTCAGGGCAGACGGCTCGGAGCCATCGCTGCCCAGCTGGGTGTAATCGGCGGCTGCACCGCCAAGTCCTCACCCGGCCAGGCCGGCAGCTGGAACGCGCAGTCCGCCCGCGCACAGGAATTCGCGAAAGATGTATTTTTAGCCTGGAAGACCTTTTGGTTTTCCTTGTTTGGGTGAGAAGAGGCCCCGCGGACCTTGCTAATTCCCTCTCCCCACTTTTAAGTTTTCCAACCCAGGCAATTCTTTCTTCCAAGTCCCTGCTCAGAGCCAGGGCGCTTCTCTCCGGTACCCAGGGTGGAGACTTGGGAGACCCTGACCGGGTTGGGGTGACTTGAAAGGTCAGGACGCTCTGAAGGCTGCCCTCCCCCACCTCGCTAAATCCTCAAGGCCTTTGGCTAAAACGGTGGTGCCTGGCAGAAGGTAGTTACGTAGTATGCGGTATCTCTGGGATCGCCACATTTGCACCTGCTATTAAAACCTAATGAATCAGGTCAGCTGCCCCCACCCCCACCCCATACCTCGTGCCGACTGGCGGCAGCTTTGTCCTATATTGTGTCGCAGCGTTCGGAGCAAGGACGGGTGGATTGTGCCATTGCTGGCT